CTTTATTGAAAGGTTGTCGCAAGCATAGCATCCCGGTAGCGAGATACTGGTGCTCGCTTGTTGTTGCCATAATTCATTATATTTCGTCGCTCGCGACCTTCCTATATCAACAAAGCCCTAGTTTCAATTAATATGCAATTTATCGTTCACCTTTTATTAATGATGTTAAGCAGTAAAACGTCAGACTGTATATTTGTTGCTGTTTTATCTCATCCTAGACATTATTGCACAGTGGGGTTGACTGCTTTCATTGCGCGTAGATAATACTCGTAGTACTGAAAGTTTGCAGCTTCTTTCAGTGCATTCTCCCCCAAACCATCCAGCCCTAACGAAAACTTGACATACCACTCCGGTCTTCGCATTTGGGTCCAAATATATGTCTTCTCCATCATCTCGTCTGGTGCGGCGTTCTTACTTGTCATTCTTGGAAGTTCGTCTTCAGTGAAACCTCTATCTTTCAGACGGATGATGTAGTCATCAATCAGGTTAACATAGTGCTTGTATGCCTTGTAGGTCTCAGAATTTTTTCGTCGACTCTGCTTGACTCGGAATACCTGAAGATCGTCCCACACTTGGAACGACGTAATGCGCCGTTTTAACATTTCTTGCTCTTCGTACTTGGTCGACTTGTCCCAATACTTTTTCAAAAATGCATAGTTCGGCTGAGATTCAAGCAATTTGCCTTGCATATTTTCCAGCCCCAGCCACACCGCAACATCATCCAAAGACTCCCCGTTGAACGCCCAGACTCTCAAATAGTTTTTCACATGGTTTTTGTAGTACCTGTAGTTCGGATGCTTCAAAAGCTCTTCTCCTGTCAGCTTGTCCAGCTTTAATTTGGCCATAACGTCGTCCAAAGGCGTACCTTTCTCCATCCACGACCTCATTAAACCAGCAACGAACTCTTCGTAGAACTTGAAGTTCACAGCCCCTAAACGTTCTGCTGCTGGCAGGATATTCAGGTCTAATCGTACCAAGACATCATCTAAATCAAGATCCTTCGTAGCCCACACCAACGCTTGATGTTCTAAGTATTGGTCATAGTACTTGAAATTCGGATTGGACGTAAGGTCAGATCCCGACAATCCTCGAAGTCCCAACTGAGAGACAATATCGTCGAGAGTGAGCTCATTTTTAGCCCAAATGGGAAGTTGAGAGGTCACGTAGTCGTCGTAGAACTGGAAATTCTTGGCTTGTTTTAATAGTGCGTCGTCCAGTTTGTCCATCCCTAGCTCTTTCCGGACGAACGAGACCGATTTCCCGTTGTTGGACCATACTTGCAGCTTTGCCTTCATGGGCAACGCCGGCGAGATCTTGACGCTAAACGTGTTGGTGGCTTTCGTCACACCCTGCGAGAACGACTTGAATGTCTTGGAAGACTTGAGTTTTTGAAACGCTTCTGTACCAGTGACCCTCTCTTCAAGATCTTTAATGCTCGACTTATCGTATCCAGAATAGCCACTAACATCGCCCGTGTTTTCGCCGTAACCAACGTCCTTAAACGAGTTGCTCTCCGCGTTAGCTCGGTTTACCACTCTTAATAATCTCCTCCTGGCAGTCTCAGTAACGGCAAAACTGGTAGATATCGAGTGAGCAGGTGAAGCCACTGTCGTAATCGGGGACGTTGAGAAAGCGTTGCTGATGGTTTGAAAAGAAGATACCAGAATAAGAAGCACATGATACCAACGCATACTTTTCGAAAGTGGGAAGAATTCTGTACAACCAATCGATTTCGAGGGCAAAGCCTTAGATTGTGCAAAGCTTTTGTGGTGATCTTCGCGAACACACAACACATAGTACGCGAAGATTACGCGATTCCTTCCACAATACAAGTACAGTACTTTACTTTTACTTTCGGTATTCCATTGAAAAAATGCTGAGAATATTTAGTTTTAGTACTTTTATTAATAAGTACATTTAGTATTTGATACTGTAACATTATAGATCTCTATTCGTATTCTACATTGGCGGAACAACTGGATGGATACCTTGGGATGATTTGCATATCCGGTGCCGAATTTCGGACTCCGAATGTGCAGCCGTTTCGCCGCCTCGGAAATTTGATATACTTCCGGATATAACGATCTTCTTGTCTAATACTACATACATGTTTGTATGCTAAAACCTGATTGTTTGCAAATCCTACAAGGTACACACATGCAAAAACGCGGTGCATTCCTGCTAGGCAAATCCTTGACCATGTGTTTACAGTAGTGGCTTTTATTTGAACACATGCACTGAATTGATGAGACGAGAAGGACGACGTGAGAATTTTCATTGGACTCGCTATTATAGTGTGATTTGAGCAAACAGCATCGATTTTATCAGTGCATAGAAAGCATCGACCTGGTGAATGGAGCACTAGTACCAAAAGAGCGAATTGCATTTAATAAGGGGCCACTTCGCTTGG